AAATTTTTTTAGTTTTAATGTTTAACTACCCACCATTTTATGACAGGTGGAAGAAAACCTGAAATAATAAGTAATAAGACTGTTATTACTTAGTGACTAAATGAATTATAGTGGTAAAAGTAAAATGACAACAACTTCAGTACCCGTGAGGTAAGACGACTTGGTGCTTAGGAAACTGAGCTAAAACATTATATAATCTTAATATACTTGGTTGTTCATAGCAGATTTGGCTGTTCTAACCCAGAGGGTTAATCACCATAGTATGAGCTGACAGAAAACTCACTCACCTAAAACGATCAGATCTTATAAGGGTTCAATTACCAAAAGACTGCCTTCATACCCACACTTAATGGACTGGACACATGTCTGCCTCGTGTTGTCATGCCTGGGCTGAGAAAGACAACTGATGGGGTCAGATGAGAGATTCATCCAAGGCAGAGTGAGCCTCGTCTAAGCATAAATGGAATTCCTTAATTCTAGCTGCAGAAACCCCCACAGAACTGAATGTATTCAGAACCTCTATAGGCACACAGTGTAGTGCTTAAAGCCTGGAGGGTAGACTGCTTGGGTTACTCTTTTCTTAGTTGTATGAATATATTTTTAGAAAAGGGTTACTTATCTCTTTGTGCTACATTTTTCTTAAAATAGAGATAATTATTAAAGCATAGGGTTACTGTGAGGATTATAAATTTAAAGCACTTAGAAAAGTATAAGGAAGTACTAGATAAACATTACTATTATACAATGATTTACCTGAAACATGGAGTGAAAAAGTACTAATCTAATCTACAGGGTGGGTGGGGATATGCAATATAATAAAGTACTCTAAAAGTTAACTATGATATCTGAAAGTTCCAGGGTTAAAGATCACAACTAAGGTTGTAAGAAAAAAAATTACCTCAAAATTATCATTTAAAAATGAGTAAAGGGTAGATTTGGGATAGACTTTGGATTCAGAAAGTCTATTTCTGTTTTCAAAACTGATGCATTTCTTTCGTGATTTTGAGGATGAAAATATACCCTCAATTAACAGTTATGAAGCAAATGATATATTTTTCCTTTTTTATAAAAAGCAACATTTAAGTAGACATTTAAAAAATATAAAAAAGGAAAGCTACAAAGTACTGACACTTGTATTATAGGAACTATGTAAATGCCAGCATCCATACCTTGACTCAAAGTGAAAAAGAAATATATAGGCTGAATGAAAAACTACTCAGGAGTCCAAGGCCTATCAGCCTATGTGAGAGGCAAGTCCAGAGAGCGGGTGGTGGGAACCGTCAGAAGGAGAGGAGTGAGGGTTAACAGCCTGTAGTGATGGCAAAATACTTTTGTCCACAATGGATTGGGAGCAGGATGAAGGACGCTGGAGCCTTGACCTGATTGTGGACAAGGCAGAGTCATCCAGACAGCTTCTGAGACTATTCCCATTCCTGCCCCAGGCCTGAGACACACACTGAAAGCAGAGCAGGGAGTCTGCAAAATCACCCCACAAAATGAACCGGTAGTTTGAGGTAGCAAACACTTAAAAGAAAAGAGGATATGGTAGTCCGCAAACTCTGCTGTCAGTTATGTCAAAACATGGCAGAGGACTTCCACATTCTTACTTCTGCAAGTGTTTCCACACTTCTGCAGGACTTCTACCATCAAATTCTGGGAGTCCAGCATCTGCCTCAGGCTGTAAATCTGCACTAAACCCCCAGAGCAGGGAAAGATGGAAGCGGCAGCCTGGGATGCTTCTAGGATTCTAGGGGTGCTTCTTCATGTAATCAGCTTTATACCTCCATCTGCCTCACTGACAGAACAAGAACTTACATGTAGGTAAGGAGGAAATGAAGTTATATACACAGCCTATGCTTCTAATATACTTCAAACCAGCTCAGGCGCTGTTTAAAGGCACAGGAGAAGGTGCATGGGAAATATGGTGTATAGAAAAGCAGTGAGAAGGCTGTTCATCTGTGTGAGCCAACCGTTACGCTTCTCTTGAGCAAATCTTTTGGATAAAATACTCAACACTCACAGTGACTACTTCTGAGAGAAAAAGAGAGTGAAGGACAAAGGTACCAAGGAAATTCTAATTTGTGATCTTTTCTCAAGAACAATTACCGTGATGAAAAGGAATGTATTGACTTACCTGGAAAATATCTGTCTTGTCTTCAAATAGACTGACAAAATATTTGTAGTCAGCATAAGCCCAGAATTTGGAATGATCATAATCTCTAAATGGTCCAGAAATAGTAGAGTGGTCATAGTTCCAGGTCAGAAATTCTTCAATTGTAGCTTCTACGTAACTACATGAAGTTTCAAACTGAGGAACTGCAATGTAAGAGAACCCAACGTTAAATGTATATGGAACACAGTTTCTGAATATTGTTTTTTTAAATGAAGACAATTTCAAGCAAAAATGTTAACTATCATTTAATATTAAAAAAATAATAATTTTGGGGCCGGCCGAGAGGCGCGATGGTTAGGAGCTGGCTTGGGACGCCAGAGGGCCCCGGTTAGGATCCCACATATGAGGGCTGGTGACGCTGCCCTCCGCAGCTGGGATGCTGAAGGCAGCTCAGCCTGGAGCTGGGCTGCTGTGAGTCGCCAGTGATGGCATAGGCTGCAGCCCCTGTGGCAGTGGGTTGCCATAGGCCAGCGTGAGCGGCCAGCAGCCGCAGTGAGCAGCCATCCAGAAGCTGGCGACTGATCTGCCTCGCCCGGGAAGAGCGCAATGACTTGGGCCAGTGAGGCGGTGTCCTCTGCGACTAGACTGAAGAGCAAAACGACAGCAACTTGTCTGTTCCCCTTCCCCCAATTCCCCAGCGCTGTTCCCATCCCCCAATAAAAAAATCTTAAAAAAAAATAATTTTGTCCTTGCTATATAATTAAATCCATTTACAACACTCATAATACTTGTGATTAAACATAAAAGTAACACGGTTTTAATTATNCATTCAAATACCTATTATGTACAGTGGTTCCCCCCATCTGCAGTTTTACTTTCTGCCATCCAAATATATTAAATGGAAAATTCCAGAAATAAACAATTCATAAGCTTTAAATTGCACACCCTTGTGAAGAGCATAATGAAATCTGACACAGTTCTGCTCCATCTCACCCAGGATGTGAATCGTGCCTTTGTCCAGGATATCCATGCTGTGTGCCACTCGCCCTTAGACACTTAGTAGCCATCTGGGATATCAGATCGATTGTTGCAATTTTGAAATGCTTGTGTTCAATTTACCCTTATTTAATAACGTCCCCAAGCCATTCACATAACTATTATTACAGTATAAGTGTTCTATTTTATTTTTAGTCATTGTTGTGAATTTTTTACTGTGCCTAATTTATAAATTAAACTTTATCATAGGTATGTATGGTTAGGGACAAAAACATAGTATGTATAGGGTTCAGTACTATCTGTGGTTTCAGGCATCCCCCGGGGGTCTTGGAGTAAATCCCCCACAGATAAGGGGGAACCACTGCGTTTAGCACTATGTTAGCAGTTTGGGGGAATAAAAAATTATAAAACATAGTCTCTGTTTCCAAATAACTTACAATATTGTTAGAGGAATACTATGTCATATACTATTTAAATAGCAATCCAAGTAGAACATAGAGGAATGAAGGCCAGGGATGAATGGATGTGGATGTATGTGGTTGAGAAGGTTTCACAGACAAGGCTGAATCTGAGCTGGGCCCTAAGAGTACAATTTTAACAGACAGAAATTGAGAAGAGCATGAGCAAAGGCCAGAAGATGAGAGAGTACACAGTGGTCCAGCACTCAGTCAGGAGAGTAGACAGGGACTAATGCAGAGAAGAAAGGTTGCATCAGACGTTTTGGAGAAAGTCTTAAATTCTATCCTTATAGTTTAAGTCACGAAAGATTTGTGGACATGATGAACATATTTCAATATTTAATCTGGAGCATGACTTGAAATGTATTTTAATAAAAACTATTTTAGAATTAAAGGAGGCCTCAAAAGTGGAGGAATAAAGCGTAATTTTAGAAGTGATGTTGTAGACGAGGTTCTCAAAGTGGCCCATAGACCCCTTGGTGGGGGAGGGAGTCCCCAAGACACTTTCAAGGGATCTGTGAGGTTAAAATTATTTTCATAATACTACTAAGATGTTACTTGCCTGTTTCACAGTGTTAACATTTGCAATGAGGGCACAAAAACAATGATTAATAAAAACTGCTGGTCAAGACAGTGGAATCAAAGTATACTGGTAGCAATGTATTCTTTTTTAAAAAACAGCTTTATTGAGGTATAATTGATATACAATAAACAGCATATATTTTTAAGTGTATGATTTGGTGAATTTTTACATACCTATATACCTGAGAAACCATCACTACAATTAAGATGACAAATATTTTGATCATGTCCAAAAGTTCCTCTGTGACCCTTTATATAACCCATCTCTTTCATGGTATCTTTTTTTTTTAGCTGAGCCATCCTGCTACCTGTTGGCAGCTCAGCAGCAGCTCAGCTCAGGCCAGGAATAGAACCGGCAATCCTGTTGCTCAGAGCTGGCACTTAACCCATCTCTCTCTACTCCCTCATTCTCACACACACAACTACTGATCTATTTTCTGTCACTATAAATTTGTCTGCAAGTTCTACAATTTTATATAAATGGAATCATAGAGTAAGTACTCCTTTTTCACGCTAACACTAATCCAAAGGCAAACCAAACAAAGTTGACTTCACACAAATTAGGCATCAGAACAAGGAAGAACCCAGGAGAGAGAAGGGGGTCATTTCATCATGATAAAACATCAACCCAGTAAGAGGACATAACAATCCTAAGTGCATGAACCTCATAACAGTTTCAAAACAGATGAAACAAAAACAGACCAACTTAAACTAAAAAAAGAAACAAACATACAGTCATGGTTAGGAAATTTCAATACCTCTCTCTATATAATCAGTACAACAAGTGTACAGAAAATCAGTAAGGATACAGGAGACTTGAACAATCATCTTGACTTGAAAACACATCATTAGCAGAATACCCATTATTTTCAAGTGCACCTACAACATTTATCAAGATTTACTATATTCTGGGCCATTAGCAATAAATTTAAAAGGACTGAAGTCATACAAAGTATGTTCTCTGACTACAACGGAATTAACTTTAAAAAAATCAGTAACGGAAAATAAGTAATGGAAACGTAAAAAAAAAATCAGTAGATAGAAAATCCCCAAATATTTGGAAACTAAACATTACACTTATAAATAATCCATAAGTCCAAGAATAAATCACAAGGGAAATTAGAAAATATTTTGAACAGAATAAAAATGATTTTGGAAATTTGTATCTTGAAACACATGAGTTTGAAAGGTTCTCAATAATTAAAAGACTTTTCTGATAACAATGGTGATGATATTAAGGAATGTCACTTCTTTTTTAATGAAGTATATGGAAATGAGGCAACATTTGGAATATCTAAAGAACTCAGTAAACCAATATTTTCCAAATGGCCGATGAAAGGTATTACAAAAGCTCCATTCCATTCAAGATGGACTAATGTATTTTAAAGTAAGAGTACAAAATGTTTATTAATTATGGTTTCAGACTCTATACTGCAACAAACAAACCTTTTAAGAAACTACGCCTTGTCAAGTTTGGTGGAGTATTAAAAAAAATCCACAACTCGCGTTGGTTAAGAGCTGGCTTGGGACGCCAGAGGGCCCCGGTTCGGATCCCACATATGAGGGCCAGTTGACACTGCCCTCTACAACTAAGATGCTGAACAACAGCTCAACTTGGAGTTGGGCTGCCTTGAGTCGCCGGAGTTGGC